ACCTTTTTTTTGCTATACAGCGTTGCACTAGTTTAACTGACAATTGCGCAGTCATGCAATGCTGTACATAAATTAAATTTATGTCCTTTTTTTCACAGAAATAGAGCTTTCTTTTGGTGGTATTTGATCATTTTGTATTTTTTGTGCTATAAACAAAAAAAGGGTGAAAATTTAGAAAAAAAAAAAATTTTTACTTTCTGCTATAAAAAATATATAGTAAACTCAAAGTTAGTGATAAATTTAGGCCAAAATGTATTCTGCTACAGTGATGGAAATAAGTATTTGATCCCCTGCTGATTTTGAATGTTTGCCCATTCACAAAGAAATGATCAGTCTAAAAATCGAATGGCAGGTGTATTGTAACACTGAGAGACAGAATAGAAAACATTCTAAAGAAATGCATATCTAACAAATTATGCACTGCTTTGCATGTTCATGAGGGAAATAAGTATTTGATCCCCTTCACAAAACATGACTTAGTACTTGGTGGCAAATCCCTTGTTGGCAATCACAGAGGTCAGACGTTTCCTGTAGTTGGCCACCAGGTTTGCACACATCTCAGGAGGGATTTTGGCCCACTCCTCTTGGCAGATCCTCTCCAAGTCATTAAAGTTTGGTGGATGACGCTTGGCAACTCGAACTTTCAGCTCCCTCCACAGATTTTAAATCGGATTAAGGTCTGGAGACTGGCTAGGCCACTCCAGGACCTTAATGAGCTTCTTCTTGAACCACTCGTTTATTGCCTTGGTGGTGTGTTTCGGGTCATTGTCATGCTGGAACACCCATCCACAACCCATTTTCAATGCCCTGGCTGAGGGAAGAAGGTTCTCACCCAAGATTTGACGGTACATTGCCCCGTCCATCGTCCCTTTGATGCAGTGCAGTTGTTCTGTTCTCTTAGCAGAAAAACACCTCCAAAGCAGAATGTTTCCACCACCATGTTTGATAGTTGGGATGGTGTTCTTGAGGTCATAGGCAGCAAAGAGCTCGATTTTGGTCTCATCTGAACACAACACTTTCAACCAGTCCTCCTCTGCATCATTCAGATGTTCAGTGGCAAACTTCACATGGGCCTGGACATGTGCTTTCTTGAGCAGAGGGACCTTGCGGGCACTGCAGGATTTCCTTGTTGGCGTAGTGTGTTACCAATTGTTTTCTTGGTGACTGTGGTCCCAGCTGCCTGGAGATCATTAACAAGATCCTTATGTGTAGTTCTGGGATAATTCCTCACTGTTCTTATAATCATTGATACTCTACGAGGTGAGATCTTGCATGGTGCACCAGACCTAGGGAGACTGACAGTTGTTTTGTGTTTCTTCCATTTGCGAATGATTGCACCAACTGTTGTCACCTTCTCACCAAGCTGCTTGGCGATAGTTTGGTAACCCAGTCCAGCCTTTTGTAGGTCTACGATCTTGTCCCTGACATCCTTGGACAACTCTTTGGTCTTTGTCATGGTGGAGAGTTTGGAATCTAATTGATTGCTCCTGTGGACAGGTGTCTTTTATACAGGTAACAAAATGAGATTAGCAGCACTCCCTGTAGCCTCCCTGGCGGTATTCCCGAGTGTAGCTCGGGGTAAAGTTTCAGTACCACAAGCGGTAACCCCGAGCTACACTCGGGCTTACCATGCGGTGCTGCTCTGGGATCTGTTCTTCTCTTACCTTGTCCTGTGCACTCCTCCCGCGATGTCCCTCCTGCAGTGCCCCCTGTAATGTCCTCCGGCGGATGCCGGCATCTGTCTTCTGGGTTCCGTCCCCTGCGACGTCAGGACGTACAGGGACGGAACGGCGGGAAATTTGAAAATGACAAAAAGTGACATTCACTAAATTCACTAAAAAAACATAGTAAAACATTACTTTATCAAACCATTTCACATACATTTTGCCCCTAGTGCTTTGTCCTGTTCCCTGCCTACATTTTTACTGTTCTTTCTGCCTGGAAACTGAGAAATGTCCATGGCGTCCAAAAAGCGTCCCTTTAGGTCAAAATCGGTTTTAGACCAGCTAGAGAACAGCGATAGTAAATCAGAATTAGAATGGGGAAATTCATCATCAGACACTGAAAACGATTCTGCAACTGAGCTCAGCAATGTGCGAACTTGGCACTCTATTTCAAATTTCAGTGTTTTTGGTTTGATTATATTATTGAATTAAATTTATTATTATTATATTATTATGTTTTATGATTATTTATTAAATTATAATTTATGATTTCGTGTTTCAAATTTTAACATAGCTGGGATTTTTTACTAGACTCTTGCTCGGACAGATTTCAGTGAGTTATTCCTAAAAATTACAAGCCTACAATAAAAAAAATACATATTTCCATGCAAAAAAATGTACCGCTTTGAGCACAGAAATATGGACATAATCAGAGAAATATGGACATAATCAGACCGCTAGGGAGGTTAAGAGACTGATTCTAGTCTCAGCTTTTTACCTGAATGAAATACACCTGGTAGCCAAAAATCCTGAATGTTAGGGGATCAAATACTTATTTCCCTCATGAACATGCAAATCAGTGCACAATTTGTTAGACATGCATTTCTTTTGAATTTTTTGTTGCTATTCTGTCTCTTAGTGTTACAATACACCTACTATTTGATTTTTAGACTGATAATTTCTTTGTGAGTGGGCAAACATTCAATATCAGCAGGGGATAAAATACTTATTTCCTTCACTGTACATGTTTTTGGTAAAAAAAAATCCCAATAAGTGTATATTTATTGCTTTGTGTGAAACTTGTAGCATCTACAAACTATGGTATAGATACTGCGATATACACCATTTTTTGCTATACATTGGTGCACTTGTTTAACTGACAATTTCATGGTCATGCAATACTGTCACATAATACTCTCTCGGCGATTTTTCAAACGTACATTTTTATGAATAAAATACACTTTATTTACTTTTAATGCACAAAATCACAATATATTGGCCAATTATTTGGTTAAATATAAAATATGATGGTATGCTGAGTAAATGGATACCAAACATGACATGGTTTAAAACTGCGCATGCCCCACGCAATGGCGACAAACTGCATACATTTTTAATATCCATAGGCAATGTGTTAAAAGCCTTTACAAGCTACTATTTTAGATTTACCGAGGAGGTCTAGTGCTATAATTACTGCCCTTGATCTGACATTCGAGGTGATACCTCACATGCACGGTGCATGTGGTTTACATACTGACATGGAGTCAACGCTTGGGCACGCAGGTGCGCATGTGCGCGGAGGGGGGGGGGGGGCGGGAGGGCAAGGGTGAATTTTTTTAAGGTATTTTTAACTATTTTTACACTGTCCCTTTCATTTTTTTTGATCATTGTTAATGCTATCACAGGAAATGCCAATATTCCCTAAAACTTCAATGGACATTTTCAAATATTCTATTTTGAGAAATCTGGGGTCTATCAGACTCTAGATATCTCCTCTGCCCTTACATTATCTAATCTCACCAAGATCGGTGTGATAAGATGCTTTCCCAATTTGCAAATGGCGCTTTTTACATCCTGTAATGTAAAATGTTAATGGTCACTGTACATATAAACAGTGTCAGTCCCTGTGAATATAAACAAATGTTCAAAAATGTTCAAAAAAGTGCATGCACCCTATGAGATCTTCATATAGTCCTTCAGTACTTGGTGCTCTTTCACTTCTTTTTTGTGCATCAAACCAATACGTCCTCTTCTATTCAAAGTACCTCGAAGCAAATAAACTGAACATAGTGCATTATCCTTAAATGTAAGTATTGTAAGTGCGTGTGTATCACAATCAATATCACCGTGATCACCTATATCCAGTGATAAATTCTTCCCATAGCCCAAATTCATGAACAATGACTATATGTCCCACGTTCCTCAAAACACAGTGATTATGTGCCACACCACACTGAAAATAGTGGTCGTATAATGCAGTCAATCAAGTGTGCCTCCTGTCAATCCATCTACTTTACCAAATCAACAGGTAGTGCTCCAGGATTCTGCTGCCACTACAAGGTCAGCCGTCCTTCCTGTAGTGTGAACCAGTGTTATGCCAAAAAGTGGTCAATATCCCCCGTGGTCTGAATAGTAAGGCACCTGTCAGCCCATATACCTTACCAGAAAGGTAATGCAGGCTTGACTCAGACCCAATATCAACTCCAGGCTCTTGTTAGCACTCCAAATCAGCAGTGTAAATGCCCAGAAAGAAAATACAATATCATTGTGCAAACCCTTCTTAAAAGTGTTAAGAATCTTTATTCAAAGAGCTTATATCAAATTCAGAGTATATGCAGCTTTAAAATAGCCTAATAGCTCACTGTATCCTTTGATAAAGTTGTGATGATGAAACACGTCAGGAAGTGACGTCAGACGTATCGCGGTGGTCATCTTGGTTGAGGTTCAGACTGCCATAAGGATACAGTGAGCTATTAGGCTGTTTTAAAGCTGCATATACTCTGCATTTGATATAATCATATATTAACCTCCCTGGCGGTATGATTATTTCTGATTTTTGGTGCTGAAAGCGGTACCTTTTTTTGCATGGAAATATATAGTTTTTTATTGTAGGCTGTAATTTTTAGGAATAACTCCCTGAAATCTGTCCGAACAAGAGTCTAGTAAACATTCCTGATATGATAAAACTTGAAACACGAAATCATAAATTATAATTTAATTAATAATCATAAAAAATAATAATATAATAATAATAATAAATTTAATTCAATAATATAATCAAACCAAAAACACTGAAATTTGAAATACAGAGGCAAATTCGCACATCGCTGAGCAAAGTCGCAAAATTTTTTCAGTGTCTGATGACGAATTTCCCCACGAATCATTATCACTCAATTCTGCAAGTGGTTCTACTTTACTATCGCTGTTCTCTAGCTGGTCTAAAACCGCTTTTGACATAAAGGGACGCTTTTTGGACACCATGGACTTTTCTAAGTTTCCAGGCAGAAAGAACAGTCAAAATTTAGGCAGGGCACAGGACAAAGCAGTAGGGACAAAATATATGTGAAATGCATTGAAACAGCAATGTTTTACTATATAATAATCATTTTTAAAAAAATTAAATTTTTTAAAAATGTCAAATTTGCCGCCGGCGCCCGTACGTCCCGACGTCACAGGGACTGGAACACGGAAGCCGGATGCCCGCATCGGCCTTAGGAGATGGCCGGGGATGCTGCAGGGGGCACATTGCGGGAGCAAAGGACTAGGTAAGCGCTGCAGGGACTCCCTGAGCAACACCGCATGGTAAGCCTGAGTGTAGCTCGGGGTTACCGCTCTTGGTACTGAAATTTTACCCGGAGCTACACTCGGGAATACCGCCAGGGAGGTTAATCATTTAATTGCGCCCTCACTGAAATTTTCAGCGTGTGACAACATCTCCCTTGCTAGATGGTTATGCAGTCCCACCAGCGATCATGCAGTCTATTGTCCTGGTATTCCCTTGGTCAGTAGGAGGTGTTGTTCCTTTTGTCCAGAATGTGAGAAGTATTCTCGTATTAGGACCCTGTGGACTCAGTCTAACTTCAGCCTCCTCTGACTCATGCGCAGTAATGGCCGCCTATGTCTGTGCTCTTCCAGTGATGTCAGACGCCCGGGAGGGCGGGGGGTATATAAGGCCAAGGTCTCTGGCAGCCATCTTGCCAGAACCATGTGGGTCACCCAGTGTATTGGATGTCTCCAGTTTCTGTGGTGAGAACTTAACAATAGTTTGTTGATGGATTCAAATGTGGATGGTTATTTGATTGATTGTTTTTCCCCTGGTTTGGACTAGTGGGGGAATATTTGGCCTTGCGTCTACTGAAGTTGGGGATATTATTGATTATTGTGAGAACTCAATCGTAATATTTTGACCTATTTCTCAAAAGGCACACTTATATGTACAAGGGTATATACAAGTGTGTAAATATTAACTTATAACCTAAGTGATTTATTATACAAATATTATATCCCAAATTATGGTTTTATGTAGAGGCCAATTCATTGAAGCCAGGATCATCATGTGTTCGTTTTTTGGGCACCCTCTTGTGGTCTTGTTTACAAATCTTGTAAATTGTGAAATTCTTTAGGAGGTATTTGGCCCCTTGTCATAAGCTATGGATTTATAATTATTTTAATTCTCTACAGCATGGTCCTTCTATACCCCCTGTGATCACTTTTTGGACCCCAATCTTTGTCATCAGTTAATCATCTTTACAATTCGCTTTTTGAGACACTTTAAATAAGCATGGGAGACCAAGGGCTGCAGATAAGATCTAATGTACTGTTTACTAATTGTTCCGATTATTGATGTTTTTGTAATTATCTTGTATACTTTTTTCTGGAAAAAGGAGCGGTCATTTTCCCTGAAGAAGCCCTGATGGGTGAAACATGTTGGAACTACTGAAAATCAATTAACTGCTGTAACAAATTGTTTTTCAATCATATTTTTGTGCATGTTTGCTTTTTAAGATAATATCTTATATTTTGTAACTAAATAAATGTTATTTTAATTTTAAAGACATTTTAAGGAAATTTTTCATGACTACAAAAACTTTTCATTTTGTAAAGCACCCTTGAAATTCCCTAATCGTTCCATATACCTACCGGTATATAGTAAAAGAAAAAGTATTTGATCTGAGTCATACAATTCATAATTCAATAGCAGTTTGAAAATAATAGGCATGCACATTTTCAGTAGTGTTAAAAATAATACAATGAAATCAGATTCACCTAATCCAATATTTCTTTGTTTACATTCAGCTAATCTGCATCCGTACTGTAACTGAAGACAAAGATAGACAATAAAGACAGTATCTGCTTCAAGAACCTGTTTGATTTAATATCCTCACTGCTGAGAGACATGAATTACAATTTCTGAAATGCAATACTCTTTTTTTTCCTACACACTCATGTCATTAGGAGAGATCTCATACTGCCAGAAACAGACAATCTCTGCAAGAGTTTAGCTTTGTGGGCACAGCAACAAGGACCTAACACATCAAGTGACTTTGGGCAGAATTTTTTACTTTTATTCACGTTGCACAATTTTACCCCTGGAAAGCCATTTATGGTGAAACAAGGTGGGTTTTGGGTAGTTTAAATATGACAAAAAAAATAATTAGAGTACAGGGTATATATTCTTATAGAATAGATGGCTTAATCCAGTGTTTCTCAAACTTTTTCTAGCCAGGGTGCCCTTGAAAAGTATTTTCAGCCTTGAGGCACCCCAACTTGGTTCATGTTACTGCATGTTGCAGAACACACACAAAATCTTGCTCATTCCTGAGACACACACAAATTCTCTGCTCTTTAGGGGTATCATTAATTCTTAACAATACACCACACATTGGCAAACATGGGGTGTTTTTGGTGTGGCACAATTTTAAAAAAAGGGCCAGGAACTTCTTTCCCTGCATTTTGGTGGGTAGGGCAGCCTACTGAAATGAATGGGCTCTCCTACATGCAACATACAGCCACACATATGTGAATCAAGGGCTTGTTCACATGTGAGGTTGGAGAGCAGTGAAACCATGTGGTTAAGCTGTTTTTACCTCCCCCCGTTAGTTGCAGAGGCAGCTACTTTTACATAGGCTCCTTAGGACTATTGTGTATGGATAGAATGTCCATACTAAATTTTAAGTGACTAACCAAGATGATGGAAAGTGTCTACAATTAGAACTAGACTGAATAAAGACTCTGTGAAAATTTAGACTATATATGAGCAGAAGGCGCCACCACCTAAGTGTAATATTTATTAAAACCAATAGTAAAAGGGTTAAATGCACTCACAAAAGTAGAAGTAAAAAGGCACATTGAGCAGTCCTGCATTATTTTGTGTCTTTTGTATATGCCTAGAGATCAGCTTAACCACTTGCCGCCCAGCCACCGCATATAAACGGTGGCAGGGCGGCGCTCGTAGGCAAAAGCACATTTTAAAACGTGTGCCTACAAAACAGGTAGGGGGCGTGCGCGAGGCGCGCGCCCGCCCTGCCTGTCCCACGGGTGTCAGCAGCGGGTCTCGGCCGGTTTTTACTGGCCGTTTTCCCGCGATGAGCATTGTTTACACACAGCCCTGCTCTGTGACAGTTCGCCGCCAAGCTGCAGAGGGAGAGAACAGTTTCTCTCCCTCGATCAGCTCCCCCCTCCCTCCCCCCGTCGAGTACAAACCCCCCGCCCCCTAGTAAAACACTCCCCTTACATTACAAATTCTAAAAATGTTAACCCCTTCCTCCCCAGTGACATTAGTACAGTTTCAGTGTTTTTTTTTTTCACTGATCACTGTATTGGTGTCACTGGGGATGCCAGTGACCCCAAGTCAGCTCCCCCCCAGTGTCAAAATGTCCGCCGCAGTCCCGCCATAAGTCGCTGGTCACCGTCATATGTCGCTGATTGCCGCCATATGTCGCTGATCGGCGCCATTATTAGTATAAATAAAAATTTAAAATCCCTGTATCTTTCCCGCCATTTGTAAACGCTATAACTTTCACGTAAACCAATTAATTTACACGTATTGGTTTTTTTTTTAGCAAAGACATGTCGCGGAATGCATTTTGGCAGAAATTTATGACTAAATTTGATTTTGCATTTTTTTTTTACTGGACATGTTTTATAGCAAAAAGTCCAAAATATTGTTTTTTTTTTCCTCAAAATTGTCAGCCTTTTTTTTTATAGCGCAAAAAATAAAAACCACACAGGCGATCAAATACCACCAAAAGAAAGCTCAATTTGTGGGGAAAAAATGATGTAAATTTCATTTATGTACCGTATTGTATGACCGCGCAATTGTCCGTTAAACTAGCGCAGCGCTGTATAGCAGAAAAATGGCGTAAATTGCAGTATTTATACCATAGATTGTAGACGCTATAACTTCCACACAAAGCAATCAATATACACTTATTGGGTTTTTTTTTTACCAAAAACATGTAGCAGAATACATTTTGGCCTAAATTTATAACCAACTTTGAGTTTACTATATATATTTTTTATAGCTGAAAGTAAAAAATATTGTTTTTCTTCAAAATTTTTGGCCTTTTTTTGTTTATAGCGTGAAAAATAAAAAGCGCACAGCTGATCAAATACCACCCGAAAGAAAGCTCTATTTGTGTGAAAAAAAGGACGTAAATATCGTTTGGGTGCAGCATTGCATGACCGCGCAATTATCAGTTGAATTAGTGCAGCGCCGAGTAGCAAAAAGAGGCCTGGTCATTAAGGGGGGTAAATCCTCAGAAGCTGAAGTGGTTAAAGTGATTGTAAACCTCTGACATGAAATATGAACAAAGCATATTCCCCTATAGTATGTACTTGTCTCAATCCAGAGCACTAAGTATCATTTCTGTCTGTTTCTTTATTCCTCTGCTATCCGCTTGAGTCACTTCTGGAAGGTTTTCCTGACACCAAGAGAAAAAATATGACAGGGGAGGGATCTCCAACACACATCTAGTGACTGGCAGATTCAGCTCTGTAACTTCAGCTACCTGCCCCCTGCTTTCTGAAAGCTCAGAAATGCTGTACAAATTATGCTCTTTGAATGGTTGTAGAGAAGAGAATACTATAGATAAACAGGTACAACTTATGTAGGAGGATTTTTTTCATGTCTGTGTAGAACCTAGGGTTAGTCACTTCAATAAATATATGTAAGGGTTTACAGCCACTTTAAGGTTTATACTGTACATATTCTTTGTTCGTACAAATTTAGGATGTACCTTACTCAGTTTTGATCACTTGATAGCATGAATCTCATCAAAACTAAGGCTTTGCTAGCAAATGGAACTAAAACAATTAAAACAAGACTCCAATATCTTTACTTTAACCACTTAAAGTGCAAAATCAAGTATATAATGGCAATTTTGCACTTCTGCCTAGGGGGGGTGAACGCGTGGTGCCAGTGAGCCGCTTCAGCTGTAATTATTCACAGCAAAAAAAACCGATCTGTGGGTGCAGGGCAGCAGATGTCTGCCTAGGTAAAGAAAGCAGAGCTCTGTTCTGACAGGGAGAAAGTGATTGTTCTTGTGTCCCTGCAAAGGCAAAGAATAAGATCCATCACTTCCCTTAGTAAAAGCAGCACAGAAAACACATAGCTAGGCACACAGTTAACCCTTGATTGCCCTAGATGTTTAACCCCTTCTCAGCCAGTTTTATTAGTACAGTGTCAGTGCATATTTTTAGCACTGATTACTGTATTAGTATCACTGGTTCCTACAAAGTGTCATTGTAAAAATGTCAGCCACAATATCGCAGTCCCTCTATAAGTCGCTGATCACCACCATTACTAGTATAAAAAACAATTCCAGTATATATCCCATAGTTTGTAGACAATATAACTTTTATGCAAACCAATCAATATACACTTATTGGGATTTTTCTTTTTACCAAAAATATGTAGCAGAATACACATTAGCCTGAATTTATGAAAATGTTTGATTTTTTTACATTTTTTATTGCATATGTTTTATAGCAGAAAAAATATATAACAAAAAATATTGTTTTGTTTTTTTTCAAAAGTGTTAGCCTTTTTTTGTCCAAAAAATTAAAAATGCAGTGGTGTGTTCAAAAACCACCAAAAGAAAGCTCTACTTGTGGGGAAAAAAATTACATAGATTTCCTTTATGTACTGCATTGCATGACTGTGCAATTGTCAGTTAAAGTAATACAGTACCGCATAGTAAAAAATAGCCGGGTCAGGAAGGGATATACATAATAATAATAATAATAGTCATTCTTTATGAATGATAATATCCTATTTTGGCCTTACATCTGTTAAAGCACTATTATACTTAATGTATTTATATCCTTCGTGCTGTTCCCACTGTAGACTTATTATGTAGTCTCACAACTGTAATAACTTAAAGTTCTATAATTTTAATACAATGTTTTCCTGTTGAAGCTTAACCCAACTTAGATAAAAGAAATTATTTAATCATGTTTTGTATTTAACCTCCCTGGCAGTATGATTATTTCAGATTTTTGGTGCTGAAAGCGGTACCATTATTTTGCATGGAAAATTGGCGTTTTGTATTCTTAGGAATAACTCACTGAAATCTGTCCGAACATGAGTCTAGTAAACATCCCAGGGAGGATAAAACTTGAAACACGAAATCATAAATTATAATTTAATAAAAAAATCATAAAAAATAATAATATAATAATAATAAATTTAATTCAATAATATAATCAAACCAAAAACACTGAAATTTGAAATATAGGTGTCCGTTTATGAACCAGCAGTGATAGATCACTGCTCAGTTCTCCGGCATTCTCAGAGAACCCAGTTCTCCTGTGAATGCTGTTTATGAAGCATATGTAGATCAGTTCTCCAAACGAAGGGGGAGAACGGTCTACAAACACTGGAAAACGGCTGATTTTACTATAATCTTGCGAGATTACAGTAAAAGATCAGTTTACTAAGCAGAGGTAAATTATCTCTGCTTAGTTTTCGGTCCCCTCTGATTCTCCAGCTCTGGGCTGGAGAATCTGGAGGGAGAACACAGATCTCCAGAGAAGGGCTGAAAATGTTCTCCTGAGTGTTATAAACTGTGAATGACCAGAGAATAACTGCGATCCTCTGAATCTCAGCTATTCTGTGTGTCATAAATGGACACCAGAGTGCCAAGTTCGCACATCACTGAGCAAAGTTGCAAAATTGTTTTCAGTGTCTGATGACGAATTTCCCCACGACTCATTATCACTCAATTCTGCAAGTGGTTCTGATTTACTATCGCTGTTCTCTAGCTGGTCTAAAACTGATTTTGACCTAAAGGGACGCTTTTTGGACGCCATGGACATTTCTCAGTTTCCAGGCAATAAGAACAGTAAAAATGCAGGCAGGGCACAGGACAAAGCACTAGGGACAAAATGTATGTGAAATGGTTTGATACAGTAATGTTTTACTATGTGATTTTAGTGAATGTCACTTTTTGTCATTTTCAAATTTCCCGCCGTTCCGTCCCCGTACGTCCCGACGCTCGCAGGGAACGGAACCCAGAAGACAGATGCCGGCATCCGCCGAATTATATAGCTGGGGACACTGCAGGAGGGACATCGCAGGAGCGCAGGACAAGGTAAGAGATCGAGGGATCGCGGAGAAGCGCCGCATGGTATTCCCGAGTGTAGCTTGGGGTTACCGCTTGTGGTACTGAAACCTTACCCCGAGCTACACTCGGGAATACCGCCAGGGAGGTTAATAAAAGTGTGTTTTTACATAGATCTAGTAGTAGAAGTTTTTGAATTACTAAAGGCATTTAGACTCTTCACTTTGCAAGGGAATCTTCTCCACAGCTTATTGAATGTGATGCAAGGAATACTCAATCATGTGCAAGGAAAAAATATATTTTTTCTTCCATGTGACTGCATGATGGGATTCAACAGAGCTTCACCACTTTCACTAAGCTCTGAGGAAAATTATCTTGCAAAATGCAACTACCCTTGCAAAGTGAACAGCCTGTTTGTCTTTAGTAAATCAATCCAATTTTGTGAATATTCATTGTAAATATCCAAATATATGCAGATGAAAAAGTAAACATAAAATAAACAGGAAATCATTTTTTACATGATTGGAAATTTAAATGAATATTCACACAATTTATTGAGTGAACATTCTCAACTCCTTCAATAAATCATCCCTATGGTATGTTTACTGTCAGTGCTTGGATCAAAAGGCTGACTGAACAGAGTTACCACTCTATTACCAGTAAAACAGTTCCCATATTTGCATTTCACTTGTATATTTAGCTAATTATCTACAATTCAGCTTTATGTTTGGTCAAGTGATGTTCTTGTCTTTGATTTTTTTTCACTTGCATTTTAAAGTAACAAAATGTTGTTGCATGAAATATATGTTATGATTGTAAGTAAACAGAGTGGTTAACCTGTTTATCACTAAAGGTGATTAAAACCTAGATGACCTTACAAAAGGTATTTGTGTCTGTATGCATTGATTAACTTGGTAATAACTCTAAGGCTCCATGCACATTAGCAGTTTTTTTTAAAGTTCACAAACCGCAGGAAAGAAATGCTGGATAAAAAATTCTGGTAATAGCATTTTCTTTTGTAGCATTTTAGTAGCGTTTAGAAGTGTTTAGGAGCATTTAGGAGTGTTAGCATTGTATTAGCATTTTTCCAATGCCTGTAGAAAAAAAAAAAAGAAGAGCAAGCTAGAAAAAAAATCTGTTAGGAGGGTTTTGAAGCATTTAGCGTTTTTTTTTTTTTTTCGACTGGATAACAGATCCAAAAAAACTCTTCAAAAACAATTTTTTTTCTGCTCCTAGAAGCTGAAGATCAAAAAATTTTAATAGCCTAATCTACTGTGCATGGACACATAGGATAACACTATTTAGCTTCTAGTAGTGGAAAAAAATGCTATAAACATCTTGTGTGCATGGAGCCAATTGATTTAGCTACCTAAATAATGTTTTGGGTCATATAAAGTTGTTATATGGTACGCTATATTAATATATTCCCTGTATATGTTTTTTTTAAGCTGTCAAATGACAAACGTTTTTTAAAAAGCACATTTTATATCTGCAGCCTTTTTTTTTTATTTTATTTTCTAATTCCAATTTCACTTTGTGCCTCTATATATGCAGGACACAATAACTGCTGAGAAGGCAGGATTGTTTGTAGGAAAATATATTTGTGAATCAGAGTAGGTTCCAATTATTAGTGTTGGACCAAATTGATCAGTGAGAGTGCAATCTCAGAATTAGCAGTCTGGCCAGGGGCTACTAGTTCTGTGAAGGAACATGACTTAACATTAGCTCACTGCAGAGCACCATAAAAAAAAAAAAAATAAGGAATGTACAGCTTGCCGACGTGCATCAGTTAGGGCTCGTTCACACTAGGCTGTTTTGCCAACGCTTGCCAAACGCCCCTATAGCGTTTGGCAAGCGTTGGTCCGGTGTTTGCGGAGCGTTTTTAACGCTCGGCAAACTCTCCGCAAACGCCACATGCGCTGTTTAGCGGCGGTTGCTAGGCGTTTGCCGAGCGTTAATAACGCCCCACAAACGCCTATAATGCATTTGAGTGGTGTTACCGCTCCGCAAACACCCCCGCAACCGCGTCGCAACCGCACCGCAAACGCCGGCCGGGCGTTTGCGGAGCGGCACCATAGACGAGAATAGGAGGCCTATTCTCGTCTATGGCCTCCTGACTCCTGACTCGACCAGAGGCGTCCGTTTTGCCGCGACGCAACGCGATGCGACGCAAACGCTCCTGTCAGAACAGCACCATGTGCTGTAATGTGCAGAATTGGCAGAGGCGTTTGGGAAGCGGTAAAAACGCTTCCCAAACGCCTCTCTGCCGCCTGCACACAAGGCTAGTGTGAACGTAGCCTTAGTCACCTAACATACTTAAATGAATCTGTCAGTAAGAGTCTGCATGCTAATTAAACAGCACCAGTAGTATTGTGGAATTTGGGAGAGTCTCAGGGTTTTTATAGATCCCTGCTATTTAATTTACTTTCCTCTGCTGGGGGTTGTTACATCCAGCACCATGATAAATACGCCTAAGGGCTGGTTCACAGGATATTAAATGTATTTTTGTAAATTAAGGTGTGTTGTGTTACACTGAACTTACAAAATGAATGGACTGTAATGCACATCAATGCGCAAAAATTTAGTGAATTCTGCTTTATTTTTTCATTGCAGTGCAACGCACATTGATGTCAATTTACTAAAACTGCAGAGTGCAAAATCTGCTACAGCTGTGCATGGTAGCCAATCAGCTTCTAACTTCAGCTTATTCAATTAAAAATTGTAAACTTAGATTTGGAAAATCAAGCCCATTGTGTGCTATGGATGTGTGTTAGGGCTCGTTCACACTAGGCTGTTTTGCCAACGCTTGCCAAACGCCCCTATAGCGTTTGGCAAGCGTTGGTCCGGTGTTTGCGGAGCGTTTTTAACGCTCGGCAAACGCTCCGCAAATGCCGCATGCGCGGTTTAGCGGCGGTTGCTAGGCGTTTGCCGAGCGTCAATAACGCCCCACAAACGCCTATAATGCATTTGAGTGGTGTTACCGCTCCGCAAACACCCCGCAACCGCGTCGCAACCGCACCGCAAACGCCGGCCGGGCGTTTGCGGAGCGGCACCATAGACGAGAATAGGAGGCTTCAAAGCCTCCTGACTCGACCAGAGGCGTCCGTTTTGCCGCGACGCGACGCAAACGCTCCTGTTAGAACAGCACCATGTGCTGTAATGTGCAGAATTGGCAGAGGCGTTTGGGAAGCGGTAAAAACGCTTCCCAAACGCCTCTCTGCCGCCTGCACACAAGGCTAGTGTGAACGTAGCCTTAGGGTGCCGATCCAAATGAATGGCATGCAACACCCCAATGCATGTATATTGCGTTACCGTTTGTTGCAGCAATGCACATTTTAAAGCTCCATAATATTGACTTCTTTCAACTTTGTCTCCCTAATAGGTCAGTGTTATAGGACACCCTATGCTATAATTTAAAGCAATTCTAAAAGTCATTTTTTTTTTAAAATAACAAACCTGTCCATACTTACCTACTGCACTACTGTGCAGTGGTTTTGCACAGAGTAGCCTGGATCCTCCTCTTCTCAAGTCCCCTGAGAAGGTTCTCCTGGCTCCTCAATCCTGTCAGGAGCCCCCACAGCAAGAAGCTTGCTATGGGGGGCACCCGCTGCTCCATGTGTCCATTTATACATGGAGCCCTGGCTTGGCCCGCCCCCTCTCTCTCCTCATAGGCGGACTGGCTATGATTGACAGCAGCGGGAGCAAAAGGCTCCCGCTTGCTGTCTCAACCAATGAGAAGGCAGAGACCCGGGATAGCCGAGGTTGTTGTTCACATTGCTGGATCGTGATAAAGCTCAAGTAAGTATTGAGTGGGCTGCATGAAGGCAAAAAACCTTGAGCTTTTACAACCACTTTAAATATAGCTTGCAAATGTTGAAATCCCTCTTGGACATTGGGCTCCATTCATAAAACAGTATTTTCCTCTTTACAATTTCCTACAAATACCTCATAGAGTTTTTTTTTTTTAAATTTGCAATTCACAAAAAAACTACTAAAATTTGACATGCAGTATTTCATCAAAATCAAAATATATTTTGTATTTACTTAACCATTTCAATACCGTGCAATTTTACACCTTCCTGCCCAGGCCATTTTTCACGTTTCAGCGCTCTCACACTTTGAATGACAATTGCGCGGTCATACAACATTGCACCCAAACTAAAATTTTATCATTTTCTTCACACAACTACAGCTTTCTTTTGGTGGTATTTAATCACCGCTGGGGTTTTTATTTTTTGCTAAATTACCAAAAAAAGTCCAAAAATTTTGAAAAAAAAAAACGTTTTTCTTTGTTTCTGTTATAAAAGTTTACAAATTAATAATTGTTCTTATTAAATTTAGGCCAAGATGTATTCTGCTACGTCTGTGGTGTAAATAACCCAAATTAGGATGTATTTTTTAGTTTGTAGGAAAGTTATAGAGTTCACAAACTATGGGATATATCTGAATATTGATCAATCCTGAAGTACTGACAGCCAATCTAATTTCTTGAGGTCCAAGAATGTCAGAATAGTACAGATATCCCCAAATGACCCCTTTTTGAAGAGTAGACAGTCCGACGTACTTCATAAGAGGCATGGCAAGTTTTTTGAAGTTGTATTTTTTTTGTCATAATTTTTCGGAAAATGAAAAAATTAAAAAAATTATTTTCACTATTTTTTTTTTACATACTGTCATATAACTGGCATGGCGGTGAACAGGGACACTGACTGGTGACAGTATGAAAAAAAAAAAAATATATATTTTATTTATTTTTTTATTATTTTTAATTTTTTATTATTTTTTTTTATTTTTTTTAAGATTTTTTTTTCATATTTTACTATGACCAAAGTAGTACAATGTTACCATAGTAACATTGTACTACTTTGGGGAAGTGATCAGTATTTAAAGAATTACTTTGCTATAAGCAAGCATTTACCTGAATGAAATCGATTTTTTTTTTTTTTTTTGTGCTTAGCTGTGATTTGGTCACAGCTAATCACATGACATGTGCATGTGATTAGCTGTGACCATTCACACCTAGGCACTAGTATACAATGGATGGCATGAATAAAGCCATCCATTGTATACAACTGTCATGTGACCTGCTGTGATTGGTCACAGCAGGTCACATGGTACCAGCAACGGGGGTCGGTACTCAGATCTGTCATCGGCCGTGTCCGAGGTACATGGCCGGTGACAGATCACGCCGCTGCGCGGCTTTGCATTAGCGCAAACTGCGCATGTGCGGGAGCACGCCAAATGGCGTGCACCCGGATTGCCGAAGCACTTTTGAAGCTGCCAAACGGCCATTGGCCGGGCGGCTAATGGTTAAAGTATAACTAAAGGAAAAAACTTTCTTTAGTTTTGGATAGGGTGAAGAGGTATTAGAACACCCATTAGGTTTTTAGTAGTCTTTGATCCTATTATGCAGAATCATCCCTCTCTGTGTGTCCTATCTACCATTATCATGGAGGTAAATTTTTCCAATGGGACAAAATGCTGACAGGGGATCTAACCCTCCAATACTCTATTCAAAATTAGAAAGAAAGTTTTGTCTTTAGTTACACTTTCAAGCAGCCTTTCTCAGCCTTTTCAGCACAGAGGAACCCTTGAAATATTTTCCAGTCTCTAGGAACCCCTTCTAAAAATGACTATATCTACAACCAGGGGCGGACTGACAACTTATAGGGCCCCTGGGCAATAGGGGATCATGGGGCCTCTGTGTCCTTGCCCACATTCCAAGCACACCCAAAAGAGCCTATAAAAGGTACCAGGGGCATTTCATGGGGCCCCCTACTGACCCCGGGCCCTTGGGTAGTGCCCAAGAACTCAAATGGTCAGTCCGCCCCTGTCTACAACTCATGTTACATTAGTTTGATGGTCAGTGGGAAGAATGCTGCTTACACTTGTGGTCACTGGGAAGAATTACCCCCTTATAGATAGCTAAAAAGATCAATGATGTCAGTGGGAAGAAATCTCTAAATATAATTGTGAAAAGGTAAAGTATCCGCACTATATATATGACATAGGTTCTAACAAGGGATAAGACCATTGTGAAATGCATGTGCATTGAATTATGTTTGGAGTGATTGGGTGGTTTTTTTCAGCAAATTATGTACAGTATATGTTTTTATATTCATAAAAAAGTCTCTAAAAATCTGGTGAAATGACAGTAGAAAATACGTATATTTTACTAAATGTACTTGGGTGGATTTACTAAAGGCACATAGACTTGAGCACTTTGCAAGTGAAGTTGCTTCAGAGCCTAATAAATGAGGGGGAGCTCTGTTGACTTACATCATCCAATCATGTGCAAGCAAAAATGCTGTTTTTTTTTTTCGTTTCATATGATTGGGTATTCTTTGTAAAGTGAAGGTTTACCTCATGTACTAAGCACTGGAGAAACTTGCAAATTGCACACATAATTTGCTTTTTTTTTTTACAAAGCTTTATTTGGGTTTTTCAATTATACATAAACTCAGCCGATGAAACCCTCCAAGGATGTATCCTGGCAACAAAGTAACCTTCGTAACAGTACTGACATATTGACCAATATAAGCAATACAATATTTTGCATAGAAAACTGATCAGAAAGATTCACGAAATATTTGGTATATCTGAGGAGAAGTAGGAAAAATGGTGGAAAAATGAGCTAAACGCAATGTCATCAGTTAGAACCTCTGAACAGAAACTCTGAAGGCAGATGAGACAAAAGAAGGGAGGCATTGTGAGTCAGTAAAGTGTGTAGGGGATGTGTAATTGTGAGCTATGATATATCCAAAGATAAGAAGGTCCGGACATACCACAGAACGTTAAATGGGAGCTGGGGTACTGAGAGTATGTTAGTTGTCATGCGTAAGAAGTGAATGTTGAAGTAGGAGAGAAGCCTATGAAGAGGAGATAATCAAAGAAGAAGGAGCAGAGAAGATAGGTAGATCTATACAGAAGGAGAAGAAATTTGAGAAGGAAGCTAGTATGGAGAAAAGATGGAAGAAAAAGAGGTGGGAAAATGATGTTGAAACGGGCTGGAAGATCCCCTCCCAAGAAGTTGTTGAGCATATTTGGTAATGAGCAGAACGCTGTATTTTAAGAGAATAAGAGAGCTAGAGGCGACTCCCTGTATCAAAAAGTGATATAAGTGTTGTAAGTCCTCGCTGATTACGGGTGGGAGAAGTTATAAAGGAATGTGCGAAGGAGATGAAGTATAAAGAAAACAATTTGCTTTAAAGTAAATCTATAAGCAATACCTTTTTTCATTTTGGATAGAGTATTGGAGGGTTATAAACCCTACCAGTTTTTTTGCCATCTGTGTCCCTATTGGAAGATGTCCCCTCTGTTACTTTTCTGGGGACCACACAACATTTGGGATTTTTCTTTACTTTCACTTTCAATGATAATGGTAACCAGGACAATTAGAGAGGGTGAATCTTTCTAACAAGGACAGACAGCAATAAACACCTGACAGGTGTTCTAACATATCTGCACTCTATCCAAAAGAAAAACAAAATTTTTTTTAGTTATTCTTTAGGTAAATTAACCCATATTATCTCTATATTTAGGTCTCTATGTATTACTGTAGAAAGAACTGATTGCCTATTATGTTTTTACATTTCCTAAATACTGCATGCCTGGACCACTACTTAATTACCGCATGCATTTAATAATTTATTTCCTTCTGTGAACTGACTTTAATGCCTTTTCATGTGGTATTTACTAAGTGTTTTGCGGTAAATACCACAAATGAGTATAGTGAATTGACAGTTTCATGATTGCATGCGG